TGTCCTAAAACTTTTAAAATGGCTTTTCTAATATTAATTCTAATTATTTTTTAAAATTTAAAATTCAATTGAAATTACTAGTTCAAGTTATACAGGGTAAAATACAAAATCAAATAATATGTTGTGGTCAAGCCCTCTACTACCCCTTTCAAAAACTGTTTAATTGAAGCCACCATCTTTTTCAGAAGGGAAGCTATACGTAAAAAAAGCTTGGGCAAGTAGGAATTTCGTGAAAATTCGTCAAAATATCTTTCATTTGGAAACTGTTGGGATTTGATCCCCAGTTCTGAACAAAAATTTCCTTATTAATTACAGTAGATTAATTTGTCTCCCAAAACTTGCATCAGTTTTTTTCGTTCAATATTGTATTACAAAGTTCACATTTAAAATTTAATTCTAAAACTATATGTAATGTTACGTTATTGCAATAAGAGCCAGCCCGACACAAGTTTATACCAACTTATTCAAGAACAATTCGAATAATAATGCCGATAATATAAGATTTTCTATATTGATAATGACACTGTCTAGTAAATTAATAAGAGAACTATGTTTCTCTATTACGAGTACAAGAAATCCGAATAAAATTTTAGCATATTTTTTTTTAATATCATCTTACTTAATATAACAGTTTGAGTATATTAGAATTGCCAAAGTATGTTATTGAAGCAATTATAGAAATTATTCAATCAAAATGAATTTAAAATGAATGTAAATTTGAGCAATATTAGAATATTTTTTACATAAATTTTAAATTATTATCAAAATTATTGTATATATATATATAAAAATTTCGTATAACAGAAAAACTCATTTACTACTCAAACGTTAATTCTAATAATTTATTTAACCTGAAAATACAATATTTTCGTTTTGTTAATGATAAATTATTGGAAAGTAAATGGATAAGTGAAAAGAAACTGTTATACATATACATAGTATATTATATATACTGTTATACATATACATATATTTATATCTATGTGTATAGAAAAATTTTATTCAATATTAACATTAATAAATCTTTTTTTTTTTTTTAAAAATGTCTTCTAATAAATTTTAATTTTTCGAAATTATAAAGCACATTATAATAGGACAAAAAGCGCAGCGAATTTCAACTAAAATACTAAAAATGCAACAACACAATATGCAACTTTTGCATTATTACACAAAAATATTAAAAAATCTTTTGTAATAAATTTTCCATAGAACAGAAATGAATTTTTGGTTAAAATTTTGAAATACACACACAAACACTCATTTTACATACAAACATGCAATTAATCAATCAATTTTTTTTTTTCAAAATCGAAAAACCTTTTTCCAAAAATCATTTATCGCAATTTATTTTTACCGAGAAGTGACGATTGTAATCAAGCGTCATATTTATAAAGAAAGTATGTTTAATTTCACTTATTTCCACTTGGAATTTTGTATTCGAATATTATAGTGTAGTCGTGTATGCATTTAATGTGCATAAATACTAGTTGAGTCTAGCTATATATATGCTTCCGGTCTGAATGCAATACATTCTATTAGTAAGTCTATATGGGGTGCTTAAATTTCTTTTGAAAGTCAAAAATTTTTGTTTTATACATTTTGAAACATATGCACATAACATTGAATTATGACCGCATTTTATTTTGAATTTTACCCGCACATACATATAAACTTTTCTCAATTCAATTCTGTTCAAATATAAGAGAGAATTGTGCGTTACTTATACGACGCAACAAGAGTTAGAGGAACGACAACGAACAATATTAAAAGTAGAATGAAAGTAGATTGTTTTTTTTTTTTTTTGCTTGTTTTCGAAAATTTCAAAAAATTCACTTTTAAATCAATTTAAATTGGATTGTTTAATGAATTAGTATTGTGACGTGTATCATGAGTGCTTATTCAACTGCAGTTGTCATACATGTATGAATGTATGTATATTAGTTAATACCAAATATCCTTTAGGTTTTCATAATCATAAGTAGTTAATGTTAATATAGGAACGATTATTTTGGGTTATAAATCTTCAATCTACATCATATTAATATTGTAGTTATAATTGTACTAGGTGCTAGAATTTCCATGCCGACACACATGTTCATATTGTGATTCTATATAGAATCGAAATTTTTCTTAAATTTTTATATAATTTAAAATTTTATTATATATACACATATAATTCATTATAATTTGAAATTGAAAATAATTTGAAATTCAATAATTTAAAAAAATTAAAAAATTTTATATACAGTTGAATCTCAATAACATGAACTCCTGTAAAATGAAATACTACTACTGTAATACACGAACTGTTTTACTGTATTTTAGCATCATATAGATTTTAATTTTTCCTACCGGATAAAGGTAAAATACAAACTAATGTGATTGCAAAATGTTGATTCGTGTTATGGAGGTTCGATTGTATATGAATACATTTAAATTGTATAGGCTAACTATCTACACAAGAATATTTTGTTAGATTAATTAAATAATTCAAATTACCATAGAGTAATGCTTGAAATTATGTACAACATTTGAAGTACATATGACCCGCAGGGCTTTTATACAACTAAATTTTAAAGTAATAGCGATTTCATATTGCTGAAGTGATTTATACAAAAATCAGAATTAATAACCCCTATGGTTTACAATTTCTAAGTTACAACTTAGAACTAAATATTATTTTGGGAATTGTATGGCAACTATACTCGAACCACTGTTTCGATCGGACTTCAAATAAATAGGGTTCCTGTCAATACTACTATATATTGTTATATAGTAGTTATTGTTAGTAAATAATTTGTGTAAGTGTGGTTTGGTTAGCTCAATCGGCTTTTGAATTATCGCTAAATCCACAGATCGTCTCAGAATTTAAATATAATCAAATAAATATTATATTCTTACGTCCACAACTCAAACGTCTATTCCTTACAGTGTGATAAAATTATAATTCTAACATTTAAACATCCGTTCGTTCACGAATAACAATTAAGTGAATTGCTAATATAATATGCTAAATAGTATAAAAAACTATAAAATAATTATAATTAGTTGAAAATGTCAATAATTGTTTAAAAAAGTATATCAATCTTGCACAAGATGTCACTACAAACGTTAGGAAATTTTAATTAAGAAAAAACCTCAATCTTGCACAAGATGGCACTACAAACGTTAGGAAATTTTAAATATAATATCTTTGCTTTCACTCAAATATTTAATAAATTATACAGATGACTCTGTAGACTGAACGTATGAAACATAATTATCTTATGTAAAAACCAAATTTAAAATATTCTCTCTTCTTAAAAATTTAATTTTCGAACCGTATGAGCGCACTCTATGTAACAGAAATCAAAAAAAAAAGAAGTAAAATAATTTCACATGCCTGACCTCTGTGTTGCAAAATATAAAACTATTTTCATTCCACAATATGAAATTCGTTTGTGGAAACTAAAAATTTATCTTTAGTTTCGCTACTACTCACTATATATCACAAAATCGGAATATATAAATTTTATTAATCTCAAATATATTTTCATTCAAAAGCACATAATACGAGTATTGAAATTCATTTTTATATAATTGCAATTTTTATTAATTACAAAAATTTAACTCTGTTTTCTACAAATATAAATTAATAAAATAGATTTAATTACTAATTAAAAATTTATAAAATTATAAATTAATATCAGTAAATTAACACTTATGTACTAATTATGTAATTAAAAATTTTTAATTGAAAGAAATTTTAAGTTTAGAATTTTTTCTCTTAAATTTGCCCTAAAAATTGCTCTTAAATGAAATATGAAATCATTTCAACTCAATAAATTTTAACTCAAAATACTATCTACTTAATAAAAATTTTATTACTTGCTTTGTAAATGAATTTTATTTTCACTCAATAAAGCCAAATGTTATGAGTGAATAAAAATTAATTTTAACTCAAATAATATAAAAAAGTGAGTACTATTACTTACAACATTGTAAATTAACTTCTTGTTTCACTCAACAAAGTATAATGTTATGAGAAGGAATTATAAAATGAGTGCATTTCTTTCTCACACAAAACAACACACTTCAAAATTTTAATCCTTTTCATTTCACCATTAATTTTTTGGTATCACCATCAGCAGGTAATCACATCACGTTACGTTCGTATGCATTGAATATTTTTTGTTTACAAAGGATTACAATGGAAACAATAAAAATGAAAAAGAACCTGTTTTCTTTCTTGTAATAAATAATAATAAAAATGCATTCAACAGTTGAAAATTTCACTCAATACACCGCGAGTAAATATAACAGAAATAAAAAATGAGTATGAGTGATGGTAAAGCAGAGTGTAGTGAATGAAAACCAGTTTCTCTATTATTTTTATTATTTTCTTATCAGCTTTTGTTATTAAATTTTCACTTGAATTTTTTTTGGTTTTTTGTTTTTCAGCTCAATTCGTTGTTGGCAATCGGTGAGAATAGACGTGGTAGCGCGTTGAATTTATTAATTAAAATATTGAAATATTTTTGAATAAAAAATTTTGATGAAAAAAATTATTTTAATAAAAGTGATAATAAAATATTAAAAATTTTAATAATAAATTGTTAATTAAAATACAAAAGAATTTTATTTATAATGTAAAATTTTGAAATTGTGTTGAAAAGAAAAACAAAAATTTGAAAAAATAAAAACCGGTTTATTTTTTGCTCGTTTTTCTTTTCTTCAAATGCATTCGAGCACAATAAGGATAACAATTTTTGTATGTTTTAAAATTATAAAACAAGAAAAAAAATTTTGAAAATTCCTAAGTAAATTATAAAATCACAATTATAGGAAATTTTAGAAAAATCAAACCTCTTTGTTTCAATAAATCACAAAATTTATTCAAAAACCGATAAACAAGTTTCTAACCCAATTAATTTTAATGATTTTTAATATTTAATAATAAATTATTAAAATTAAAATTAACTTGAATCGCGTCCATCAATCATTTTAATTGAATTGAATAATTTAAGAAGTAGTGTGTGTATGCCGACAAATATAAAAAAATTTCTTATATTATAAAATTGGTGCTTTGTATGTGTGGTGCTTCTTATATTATTTTATGTTAAGGAAAACTCTACAGGAGATTTGTACATTGAAATTCAATTTGATTAATAAAATTTTTGAAGGTAAGCTTATAAATTTTTAGTAAATGTGCTTTTATTAAATAATGTTAATGACGTAAAACCATTTGATAATTTTCTGAATAAAAAAAAAATAAAGTGCGACAGTCAGTATCAGAATTCATAATAAGTACATTTTTTGAATTTAGGACAAAAATATAATATAAAAGGAATTTGTTATTCTTACAATTCATTACAGTAAATTTCGGGATATTGGATTAAGAACATTAAATTAATATTAATTCTATAAAGGGAAATTTAGCAATTTTGAAGGGAGTATGGAATATTCATTTGTGGATATTAAATAAAATATGCCCTAGGAAATACATTTTCGAGGTCTTTGAGCATGGAAAATTGTTCTATTGTGGTTTGTCACTGGGCATGGACCCTTTAACTCATATTTACACAAAATTGGCAAATAAAATACGCAGCGATGTAGAGTCTGCGACCGGGGCACGGAGGACTTCACTCATGTCCTATTTGAGTTTGATAGCTTGACCCGCTCTAGATACAGATTTCTCGGGGCCTTGAACTTGTATTTTCATGAATCGTTGTGCATGACGGATCTGTTAAAATTTATCCTCGGGAGCATGAATCTTGAGTTCTAATGATCTGGCGCGGTAATGCACAAAAGACTTTTATGGTCGAGGTGCTGATTAAATTCGCCCCATATATAACATAACATAACATATTCATATAAAGGTCTGCACTGAGAAAAAATTTCATTGTCCTCAACACATTGACAGAACTGAGATATTTTTGCCTATATTTTGAATATAAAACATTTCTTAAATCCTTGATTTCTGGCGTTTTTGACTTCGGTTTTAGTGTTTTGCAATACTTACTATCAAAATAAAATTAAAGTTCTAAAATAATAGACTATACTAGGTAAACATTTCGAATTTAATTAAATGAAATTTAAATTTTTTTTCAAATTTAGTTGATTTTATGGAAAATTAAAACCACATATTATTTGAGCAAATAAGAATCCTAACCCAACTTTTTTTGATTTTTGAAAAAAAAATCCACCTTATATTCTGTCAATATCTTTGACCTTTAATTTTTATTAATAATTCTTTTTTTCTTGAAAACATTAAAAGATTAATTGTCGAAATTTTGAAAAATCTAATTACATGAATTTTAAAATACAAGGAAGGTCACTTTAACAAGATTTTGGTTTAGATGGGTAATTAATAGACGCATATTTTCTTACCAATAATCAATTAATTTATTATTTATGTTGAAAAAACATTATTTTAAAATTTCCAATGTTCATATGGTGTACATTTTTGACCCTAATACAAATAATTTAGCTTTGAACCTTAATAATTACCTTGGGTTACACCTAATATTACAAATCATATGTTATTCCTTTTGATTTTAACAATTTAAGCATAGTAATTCCTTAACATATTAGAAGCAATTCTTTTTGAGAAAGTTTAGGTACATTTATAATAGGTCGTTGTATATACCAACATCTAAGTATACTTATTGCAAGAATAATTTAAAATTCAATTAGTACTTATTAATTAATATTAATTCAAGAATTAATTAAAAAGAGAGCCAGAATAACTCAATAATTTTATATGCATAAATTATAGATAGTTTACTTCAATTGTATAGTTAAAAAGATAGGAGTCTACATTTAAGCATAAGTTCCCTAAAAAAAGTTGATATTATTGTTACTTAATCTCTGTGTAGCAATTTTGTACTATTTATACAATAATTAAGAAAAAATAATTTGATTGTACATAAAAATTTCATTGATTTCAAAATTTTTCATAATTTCTGAAGTTATACTATTCGCGAAATGTAGAAGAGCTGTAAAAACACACACATGTTATACATACAATATGCATCTGCGTGAAAACTGGTACATATAACCTAGTATATTTTAAGTAATGGTAGCCCATTCCTTACAGACATCACAGAAAAAGAAGCAAAAGGGTATAAAATTACTTAGTATTCATGTGGATTACAGTATAAAGCAATGTGAAGAACATTTCGTCGGCAATCTCTTCATACCTCTGTAGTTCAGTTGGTAGAACGTCCGCCTAGAGAGCGGTAGGTAACTAGTTCGACTACAGTTCGAGGAGAAAAATTTTTTTATTTTTCTGACTTTAACTCGTTCCTTTGATTACGTCATTCATCTGTTCTGCAGTTGTATGAAGAAATTTAAGTTAATAGTATAAAATTGCTTCTTCTTTTACTCCTCATATAAAGCTCCTTTTGTAAAACTTATTCAATAATAACAAAATCAAAATATTTACATTTATAATTTTAAAAGAATTTTAATAGAACACAAAAATGAGGTAGTCTACTATACTAAATTACTAAACCATACACCAATCAAAAATTCATTAATATTCGACAGCAAACTTATACCCAATTAACAATTCAGTAACAAAAAAAAAAAAATAAATTCAAGACATTCCGGTTCACAAAACCACTGAAAATCATTTACAATATTATTTATGCTTCATTTTTAAATATTTTAATTAAAATAAATGAAAAGAAAACTGAAAAATTAAAATTTTTATGCTTAATTGTGTTTGTATAGGTTGTACACCAAAAATCATTATTTTCAGACTTTTCTCTTCCTATACATTTAATTTGATTTCTTCTAGGTTGTAATTATGCGATATACGCTGAAAAATATATAATTAAATCAATTTTTGAAGAAACCGGTATAACATAAACTATATATTAAATTACATACTATGTTGTATACTAGATTTCGTTATTAATTAATTATTAATATTAATAAAGATTATTATCTTGTTTATTATTATTGTTTTTTTACAAAATTTTTGTTTAAATTAAATAGAACATCTTCAAAAAATTATTATGGTTGATGTACGTACGATAAAATCTAAAATACAGTAAAACCTTTAAGTATACAACGTTTTTTCATTTTATTGAAAATTTTGTATTGCAGATTGGGACGATAATGTACCGCGACCTAAAAGCAAATTATACCCGACAACCAGCGTAAATCAGTGTCTTGCCTAAAGCAATTCTTTGAGTCGTACATTTCTGTTAAATTCGAGTAACTTTTCTGGAGAAATATGCCGCAACGATATACCAACCAGCGAGGGTCCACCCATATTTTCTCTTCTCTTATGAATCAACACTCTACACTCATTGAATAGGAGGGATTTCCTCCTGGTCCCCGAATAACCTGCAACTTGCAAGATCCATCAATCCTTAAACCCAGTTACATAGTTGTTTCTTAAGCCTGTAGTGTCTCGTTAAGAGACCCATGAGAACTATCACATGATTTCATGACATCTTTATGATTACCTTAAAGAGCTCTCGATTGTAATTACCCGAGTGAAAGATATGAGTAACGCGATGCGGGTGCAAATTATAACCTTTGACATTAGTGTTATGCAGCTTTTTATATTATATCCGATTACTTTTATATAAAATACACTCAGAAAAGCAGTTATTTTAAGTGACACAGTAAATATAAAAATAATTTCATCTACTTAATAAACTTAGTACTCTAATACTCACATTAGCGCTGATTCCTACTGTACTTACTCTATTCATACGGGATTGTGATACGAGTTTAATTGTGCTCTAATTTTTTCAAATGCTGTATAAATATCCGAGATTTTACTGTAAATAAAAATATATTGAAAGTTTTTAAATTTCAAAATTATATTATTAGAATTTTTTTAAGGCGTTTTAGTTTTTAAAATCTCAAGCTGTGTTATTTCTTTATATTACTAATAAAATTCACTAATAAAATCAGTAATTTAATAAAATACTTATATAGTGATTATGAAAATTCATATTTAATAATTTGAATCCATAATTTTCATTAATGAATTCAAAATATTCAGTCAAATTCAGTTTTTCAAAATTTATTCAATGGAATAAGCAATTTTTGCATAGAACCTTGAAAAATTTTTCATTATTAAGTTCTCATTTTTAAAGCAATATTTCCTGTAATTGCATTCCATATAAGTACTTAAGTAGGTTTTGTTCAAATTCGGCTCTAACCAGTGATCATCCATTCAGTAAGCGTACGCTTTGCAAACTGGGCTATGTAGAGGTATACCCAGTACATATACCAATACTCAGTATTTTCCATGATTTTATAAAAATTTTCAAGACTTTGAGGATGTACAGCGTTCACATTCGATTTCAATCAATCTTCACAATGCTTAAGTTTTCATTTACGTTTCCTCAAAATTATACAATTTAAAAATGGTAATTTGGGCACGATTTCTTTCATTATTTTGCAAAATAATTTTATTTTCTAAAATTTCATTACTTATTTTGCTTACGATTTACTTAAACTTTCAAATAAATCTGGTAAATTTTAAATTTTGTGAATCATCAAAAAATCTTCTCGGAATTTTTTAATACTGCGCTAATTTGTGAATCATTATAAAATCTTTCTTTGTTTAAAAAAGATTAAATGGTTTTGTTTTTTGGTATATTTGATTGTTGAACTCAGTTTGACTACCAATATTTCTAATTAGTATTCTTCTTCGACCGAACTTTCGATCTATGCGCATCCCATACTATAATGAGTTCAGTAATTTATTTATGGCTGTGAATTTATTCACTAAAATCAATATATTAAAATTTGAAATCTTATTTACTTTTAAAATTTTGATATTATATAAAATTCTATTGGTGGTTTATATTGACATTAATTGTGGCTTTAAGAGTCACACCCTAACTTAAACGTGAATTGTACTTCTGCGGTTAGGATTTAGAATTTTATTTAGAAAAACTTTTGCACTTTTACGGTAATTAAAATTTACATGAAGTATATGACCATTCTTGATATTTAAATTTCGGCCCAATAATTTACCATTAATAATTCAACAGGTGAAAATCACAAGTTGAATAGGTGGATCTCACAAGTGCTTTAATACAATATAATTAGAATTCAAATATCATGGTGTTATATACGGAAATTGGCTGCTATATTTTGAATGCCGCAAATGCATTCTATTTTTTATATATATACATCAGAAAAATGA